ATATTTAACTTTATAATGCTATAACTTATTGAAAAGTTTATGGATCCACACAATTTTTTTATGAGAAATAATTTTTTTTAATAAACCCTTTTTCATTCGACATACTTTATCTTAATCGAGATATTAAGGAACCAGCAAATCAAGTAGCTTTTGGAATAAAACACCAATTTTTTTAAAATTAAACACTATCTAAAGATTTGCATCGAAGCGTTTATTTTTGATAGTGATTTTAATCACTGTCAGATATCATTATACTTGATCCAACTATACCACGTCACAACTGTGCCGCGACCCCCCTGTGCTGGGTTTTTTGTTTATTACAATAGTTTAAACAAATTACAATTATAGTCCTATTTTTTTTCAATAACATAATTAGACTATATTTTTATTAAAGTATTATAATACTGTATATTTTTGATATTCAACATAATAAAAAAAAAAGGGGTAGCAAAGTGGGGTCGCGGCACAGTATGGACGTGGCATAGTTAGGACAAGTATAGATATCTGACAGTGATTAAAATCACTATCATAAAAAACTCTTCGATGCAAATCTGTAGATAGTGTTTAATTTTAAAAAATTGATGGATTATTCCAAAAGCTACATGATCTCCAATTTCCTTATTTATATCTTGATTACATGTTTTATGATTTATAAGTGTAATACATTAATAAGTGTATATATATATAATAGGGTGGTTCTTAAAATTAATGTAGTAAAATTTAAAAATTATACAATCTCAATTAGTTTCAATACTTATAAAAATGAGGTACGCAATGTTTCAGGTAAATCAGAAAAGATTAACCCGTGTCATAAAAGGCCTAAAGTTTGAAAACTCAAAAATTTTGGATAACCATACATTTTTCATTGTTTTTTTAGTTCAGCGCGTTAAATAATGTATTCACAACAAAGTTGTAAGAACAAATGTTGTTTAAAATAATATTTTACACAAATTATTTTCTGAACAATCTTTTGATTTACTTATTATTAATGTATAAAAAATCAATATACATATAATGTTGTTGTTGAAAACTCACAAAATAAAGTGAATGTTAGTTGTAGTTTTTCAACTAGTGGTAATAATTTTCGTAATTTATCATAACAGCAATGTATAATCTTGAATAAACTTTTTTCAAACCATCAAGTCACAATTTATTACAAGAATGAATAAAAAGACGATAAAGTCTTAATCAAAACCCATTACTAATATTTGTCCTAACTATACATTTTTCAGGTTATTGTTTTCATTAGTTCTATTGCGCCCGTATGATCATTTTTAGATCGTATACATTTTAGTGTTTACAATAATTTTGATATTTTAACATTTTTTGAATACATATTAAAATGGCTTCACGGATAACTTTACGAAAAGATACATTTATATTTTTGATTGGTTTCCCGTCAAACCAAATTATTGATAGTAAATTACCGTCAATAAAACAAGTACTATCGGTTTTTTTTTTAATATTCGTCATGTTAACCTGAGCTTACTTGAGAGCTCTAAACTGACAATAAAAGAGGTAAGTATTTTTTGGCAAAAAGCGCGTATACCTATCAGTGCTGAACAGTATTGCATAAATAAACTTCAAAAATATTACGATGAATAGAGAAATTTACAAAAACTGCAATACAGAAAATCTGACACTCAAGCAAAAAAAAAAAATGAAGAATTTAGTTCATTCAAGATTATTTCAAAAGCAACCATAACTCTTATTCCCTTAATTTTGTTCCAATTTATAATTATAATATATGAATACATAATAATCATAGTAATTCAATTTAGTATGAAATTGATATTCAATAATATTGTAAATTTTACGGAGATATTATAAAAATGAAAAGGAGTTGTATATTCATATACTTTTAACGCATATAAAAATTTAGAGGGATTGATTTAATACTTTTTAATAAAAAAATTTTGTTACTTATGAATAAATACACTAGACTACAAGAAACTTTCATCAGAAAAAAAAATATCCTTTTCTAAATCAACTTTTCACGATATTTTCAAATGTGCAATTAAACTTTTTCTATTACTTCTCAGTTTTAATATTATTTCTTATTATTAAATAATAAGTATTTACATTAAAAAAAAAAAATAATTAAGAACAAAAAAGAATTGTTTTAAATTAATACTGATTTTGATTATTAATATGTTGAAAATAAGGAAAATTATATATTTAACCTATTTTTTTAATCGATAAAGTTGATTTTTGTGAATAATTATATTAAAAAAAATGAATTTATTTTACCATAAATTTTATCTCAATTGGCAAGTTTGAAATTGACAGTATTAAATAGAAAATTTTATGAGAATTAAAAAAATTGTATCGTTAAGATTAATATGCAGTTAGGAAGTTTTATAAATACTATTTATCGTAAATTTATCAGAATAGATAAATATTTTTTTGCATTTTTATCGTAATAGATAACTTAAAAGTAATAGTAATCATTTCTTAATAACTTTTGGTGTTTAGAAAGATTCTGCCAGTGAAATATGAACTGAATTAATTTTAATTATTTACTTTAACTAAAATAACCAATAAAACATCGAAACTAAAAAAACACATCATAGTAAAATTAATATCTTCTCCACTTCGCATCGAAGCTAAAAAAGTGGTTAAAAAGATCTACTCAATTGAGCGTATAATAAAATTTGATTATAATTGTAAAAATCCATTGTTAATTCAGGAGAAACTAACAATCATTTTTTTTAGAGATAATTTATATAGCAACATGTTACCAACAAATTTGGAATATTATAGTCTAGTAGTAGCACACACAAATAGAGTAAAAAAATTATTAAATTACAAAGTAAAATTATTTAATTTTGTATTTGAAACCTATCATATCAAATTATCACATCAAACTTGATTCATCAATAAATATTTTGAAAACATTAGAAATTAATGATTGTAATTGTCTGTATGGAGAACATGAAATAAGTAACTGTTTAATTGATAAATTAGAATTTTTTTTCAATTTTTGAGGGTAATATCTTCAACTAGATACGAATTGTAGTCATTTGACGTATCGTTGAAAAAAGTAGGTCAAGTTAGAGCAGAGAAAATAAATGATAGTCACAAAAAAATATCTTCTCAGCATTGCTTCGAAACTAAAACATAAAATATAGTAAAATAATTTTAATAAGAATAAAAAACTTCTTCTCGCGAGTGGCGACTACAGTGATGAGATCCTTGATGTTTATTGAAGTTATTGAATCTAAATGAGATATAAATCAAAGCAGTTGAAAATTTATTCTAACTAAGCTAATTCAAATTTCAAAGTTATTTTTCTCGACTTCAAAAAGCAAAAAAATTGAAATAAGTTTAACTTTCTATGCTATATTAATTTTTTATTATATATAATATTTATGAAAATCTGTACTACCCTTGTCAGGTATTTTAAAATAAAATAAAATACAAAACCCTGAATTTTAACACAAACATACCATATTTTTGAATACAGTAGTCATTTTTACCATGAAGACAAATCCAGAGGTCAATTTTTTTTTTCAAATTAAAGTATATTACATAAGCTTTAATTTAAGATATATATAAAAGTGTCAGTATTTCCGGAATACTTTCAATAATTAAATTAAAAATGTCCTAGTTCCAATACGCATGTTTAAAGTTTTGACCCCCCTTATATAAAGGGGTATGATCCGATTTACAAAAAAAGCGTGTCAGATGCAAGGGGTATATAAAAATTTATTATAAAAAAATAATAATATTGATCCATACATTTTTCTAAAGTTGTAGCAATATAAATTTAATAATATAAAATCGACAATTTTTTTACTGAAATCGTATGTTTTTCTTTAACTTTGATGTCCGTTTTCACCACGAAGACAAGTCCAGTGGTCAAATTTTTTTTTTTCAAAATAAAGTATATTTCATAAGCTTTAATTTAAGGTATATATAAAAGTGTCAGTATTTCCGTGACATTTTTAAAAGTTAATTTTTTGTAAAAAAGTTAACATTTTGAAACCCTATCTGTGGGCCGGTAAAGCGTCAAATGTTCACAAAAATATATAAAATGATAGTTAAATACCTAAGATATCTATGCTACCTTGTTGTTAAGAACTCCATATGTATGTTTGACGGGGATTCTAAATCTCGCTTCAATTTTTTTTTAAATTAGAACACTATAAAATCATTATAAAAAAATACAAATTGATTTGTTTTTATCGATTTTCAAAAATGTATTCATATTATTTTAGTTCGAGTGTCATTAAAAAAAAAAGATACTTCGAGTGTTATTTATTTTGATATAAATTATAATTATACAACTTGGACATATACATTATAAGGTATAATATACAATTAAAAAACAATGAATCATTTATAAATCAAGAAATATAAAAATAATAAATGCAAAAATTAATATTCTGAACAGAATTACTATTTTAAGAAAATACAAACAGTTAAAAATTTAACCTTGTATTACGAAAATAGAAAAAAATTAAAGCATTGCAAATAATTATTGACAATGTACAGTATTCATTCTAACAACAATTTCAAAAATCTTACTTTACTCGTTGTATGGCCAATAATCAAGCATATAATGAGGATTATAAGTTGATATATAATCAAAGGATTTTTTTGATTTGATATCATATTCATCATTTTTATCGTTTAGATTCTTTAAGTTAAATTGTGTAACATTATCTTCTACATTTTGCACATCTTTATAATACCCTATTTCAATATTATTCTTATCATTCGTACTAATATTCCATATTTCAGAATGTGATTCAGTATTACAAATACGATCTAAAAGAAATAAAATGACAATTTAAAAATGCAAAAATTATAAATATTTGCTTTATTCAATAAGATGATAGTGATTATTAAATTAAAATTTTCATCTGCTCTTTTTAGATTTGATTTAAAATGGAAAACCAAGAGAGAAATTTATATTGTTAAACCTCTTAAACTAAATTTATTTAGTTTGTAAAAGCCACATGTCAAAAAATTATTGAAAAATTATTAAATAATAAATCAATACATACCAATTCAATTTTTTATAAGTAACACATTAATATTAAACAATATGTAATATTAGTATTATATTGAACGAATAATATTTTAAATATTTCAGTCAATTCTTATTTTCGTAAATTAATGTTAAAGAATATTCTAAGAAAGTTTTAAAGTTATTAAAATTATAAATCTTTGAAACAAATAATTAATAAAGCTTTAATAAATTATTTCGCACATATTAAAATGTGTAATTGATATTTTCATATAAGCCCGAAGACGAAGCATTACATCATCGGTTTTTTGTTCATTACATAAATACAGAATTTTATATTGTATATAAAGTATACAATATTAAAAAAAAAATAGTTTTTATCTTACCTATAATTTTGAAATCAATAAATTTCTTAAAACATAATACATGAAAAGGTCGAATATTAAGATTTGTTACTATAAAATTAAAATATTCATTCCATTTTTTCAAATCGATCATATATATTTCTACTTTTTGAATGATATTATCTAATTGATTTTTAATCTCATCAGCATTATTTTCAGTAATATTTTTATTAGTGAGAATTATATTTCTTGAGAAGTACAATTTGCTTTTAATGAAGAAATTCGTAAGTACTTTAATTAATTTATTATTATGTAAAATATTAATTTCGGATAACTCTTTGTTTATAACATAATTATTTAAAGCCAAATTAAATTTATTTAAGATGTTGTTTAGCAATTCTATAGGATTATTTTTGAACACGGAGAAAGACATGAATTCTATTAAAATTTTTATTATTTTTTGACCAATATCAATAAAATTTTTTTTTAACCAAAACTTCACATTATCTGAATTTTCTGAAGATGCAACTTTAATTAATGTTAAATAGTTGCGAATAAGAATAGCTATTGGTCTAAAAGTAGCCCCAATTACCATCTTTATGTATGGTAAAACATCCTTAGAATTAAAATCATATTTCATATACTCAAATATATCTTGTATAGTTAAGCGAGTACCATTAGTACATTTAACGTTAAGTGGAGTGAATCGAAGTAGATTTAATTCTATTCGTTCACTATTTTGTAAGGTCATTATATCGTAAAACAAAAAAAGTTTTGGATGAAATTTTTCGTATAAATTCCTTTCTATTGCAAATTTAAGTTTCGTCATTATTTTACCCTTTAGTTCATTATTTATTTTTATTAGATCAGTAGTATTATATTCATTTTCACTGATTGGTGGATTGCAACTTACCATATTTTCATTAAACGGTATATTATGACAGAATATATTTATATAATATATTAGTTGTTCTTTAACCGCAAAATGTATAATCTTATAGCCTTCTAATAATTTTTGAGCATCATTTTTTTCATCATCATCAATTTTAGCAATCATATTTAATGAACCAGAAATATTATTTAAGTACATATTTACCGTGATTAAAGTATAAGGAAAATTTTTAGAATTATTGTATATCAAGTCCTCCAAAAGTATCATAATTACTTTACCATGTGTTTGAAGTGCTTTGCCATAGTTCATAAGATTTTCTATTGTTAAATAGTCTTTATTTTTTTCAAATTGTAACAAAAATCTTTCATTATGGTTAAAAAAGTTTAAAAAATAACGAGAACGCGTACAATTTAGGTAATGTGTTATATGACATAAACTTACTTTAATGGTTATCATTAACATGAAAAGTAAAAAATATTTCATTGTGCAACTTATTTATGTTAGTTTTATTCCCTGATGATTTTAATTTGAAAAAAATAGATACACTAGTTGTAAAATGTATTTTGTGCGTTATTTTTATTAATTTTGTTGTACCATATTTGTAAATTAATCATTGGTAGGAAAGAATTAATCCTTATTTAGATGTACGTGTTCATCATTCAAAATATTTATTTAATTGTTGACTTAAATATTGTAACTATACAGAGTGATTGGATTGACATAGGAAAACCTGTCTCACGTAATATTATTAAAAATACAAGTTTTATAAACAATTTTTTTTTTTAATTATTATGAATCTTTGATGAACTTTTTCACAAGAAAAATTAATTTCATATCTTCATCTCTTATACTTAGAACTTGTATTAATTTCAGATTTTCAAATGGCAACCCATATTATTTTTCTTATTGTTCATAAATAATCATAAAAAAAGAATATTTAGAAAAAAAAAGAATAAAAAATTATGAATTTTAAACAAGATATTTGATGAAAAAATTCAACATGGTCATATTATTATTTTATATTATAATAACAATAAGAGCTACTGATTTATGTGTCAACGCACGTAGACAGAATAACAAAGATTAGCTTGGTATTTTTGTTTATAAAACTGATAGCGCTTATCGATTTATGACCTATAACGTTCAGGTCTATTATAATTTTTTCTTAATAAAACCTAAACTTTAGAGAGCTGTGGAGCTCTTAATATTAAATTAAATAAAATATTTTTTATACAAAACATTTTTTTTATTAAACTAAATCTAATGGTGTAAAAAGAAATAGGGTTGCCTTTGAAAAAATAAAATTGATAAAAGTTTTAAGCATAAGGGATAGTGGTAAAAATTAAAATTTTATTATAAAACACCTCATCAAAGATCCATCATGATTAAAAAAAAAATTGTTTATAACACTTGTATTTTTAAAAATATTACGTGAGACATATTTAGACGATCACTCTGTATACTAAAAGTTAATTTATAATACATAAAACGGTAATTTTAGATTTCTCAAATACTAAGTTTTTCTATGAATAATTTTATTTAAAATATAAAAGAAAGTAAATTATTTCACCAAATTACAATATTTATCATACTTTAGCTACTTTTATTTATGTAATTTTAAAATAGTATTTAATACATTACAAAATTGCTTTTACGTTTTTTTAATTAAGGCTTTGCAGTTATACTACAAATATAATTTAAAATAGATTATATCAATAATAAAGTTATTATTCAAACTTTACATGTTACAAAGAATGGTCATAATATATATATCAAGCAGATTTGCTCCTATTTCATTAAAAAAAAAACTTTCTACACTTAGTAGATATTTGGAGAAAAATAAAAAATTAAACAAATTTTTTATCTTTTGTTTAAAAACCATTGAAATTAATAAAAATTGAAATTACTAAATATGATTAATAACCAATAAATCGGATATATTCTAATTAATATATTGGACTAATATTGAATATTCGATATTTCTCATCACTATAATGTTATATGAGGAACATTCATTTTATTGGACAATTATGTTTTAAAAAATTGGCTGTTAACTAATATAAATTTGATTTGTTTTTATAACTTTTCTTAAATTATTACATCATATTTAGTAAGAGTTGTACAAAAATTCAGTTCCATCAAGTTTAACCGAATTTTTGCATCTTTAAAATTCAGTGTGAGTGTCATTGAAAATAATAAAGATATTTCGAGTATTATTTATTTTGATACATCTTAAAATTTTTAAAACTTGAGCATATTGTATTTTATAGTATAAAATATCAAAAGCAATTTCTCAATATATTAACAGTTTTTAAATTAGTAATATGATTATCGTATTAAACGGTTCACCTTTTAATGCTTAAAATGGAAAAAAATTAAAGCTTTGTAAATAAGTATAGACAATGTACAGTATTCATTCTAACAACAATTTCAAAAATCTCACGTTACTCCTTGTATGGCCAATAATCAATCATATAAAGAGGTTTATAAATTGATTGGTGTTCATTGGAGTCAGCTGTATCGATATAATTTTCATCTTTTAGATCCTTTAAGTTAAATTGTGTAACATTATCTTTTACATTTTGCACATCTTTATAATACCCTATTTCAATATTATTCTTATCATTCGTACTAATATTGTATATTTCAGAATGTGATCTAGTATTACAAATTCGATCTAAAAAAAATAAAATGACGATTCAAAAGTGCAAAAATTACAAATATTTGTTTTAATCAACAAGATGATAGTGATTTCTAAATTAAAATTTTCAACTACTTTAATTTATATTTAAATATTTACTTTAATTTATAATCAGATTTGAATTAAAATTGAAAACAAAGTGAGAAATTTGACAGTTGAACTTATTATAACTAAATAAATTTAGTTTGTATATGGCCTATTAAAAAAAAAATGTTAATAATTGAAAACTTTATATTTTATAAAGTACATTTGTATGTTGTCGGTTAATATTCCATTGAATAATCTACTCACCACAAATTTTTTCATCGAAATATATAGAATTGGAAATATTTAATAAAATAATATGTCTTTTATTTAAACCATAGAAGGCAATAAAAATATAAAATATGTAACATGAGTATTACATAATTGTTGAACAAATTCTGTACTACATATAATATTATATATTAAGCAATTGTAATATTCACAAATTTTTATAAAAGAATATCCAAAGAAAGTTTTAGAATTAAAAAAATATGCATCCTTAAAAAAAATACAATTAATAAAAAATTTAAATATCACTTTAAATATTTTTAATTGTGAAATTGATATTTTAAAGCTATATAATTCATTGTTTCAAATAATATTGTTTAATCAGTTTTTTTATACTTATATTTAAATTATCTACACGATTGGATTGAAGAGATTTTATGATAGTGATTTTAATTACTGTCAAATATCATTTATACTTGTCCCAATTTTGCCACATCCTCATTGTGCTACTTTTTTTTTTTTTATTAGTTGTCATTGTTAATACCAGGGTGAGAAATAATATCTCTATTACTTGACGATTAATAAGAAAGGATTTTTGTATTTAAATTTATACAGAAAGAAGACTTTGGTTGTTGGCTCACATAAAATTAAGTTTATACAAATAACAATAAACAATTCAGTATAAAATGACAAATTTTATAATCAAAACATCCGTGTGGTATAACAACAATAAAAATAATGTGCCAATAATTAACACAATTGTAACAGTACCTGCCAAACTCACCAATCAGATTTTTGTATACAATTATTATATGCCAATGTTCATAGGTAAATATTTTAATCTAATGATTCGCAATTGAAAGTATTATAATCCGTGCAATTTAAATAAAATAATAGAAAACGTCATCTGTACGGCTTACAAAAAAAAAATCAACTGTCTGATAAACAAAAGAAAAAATGATACTAAAACTTATTACTAAACAAAAATACATATCATACAGTTATCGGCCAGCATTGATAACCGACCTATGACGCCAAACAACAGGGAGAGAAAGAGTAGATGAGTAGACAGAAACAATAAGCGCGCGCTATTTATGATTTGCATGCGGCGCGAACAGTCATATTGTTGGAATACTTTATTTAACTATATATAATAGGCCCCATGAAAACAGAACACAATTAAAGTGTTTATTAAATGCATAGCAGAATATAATGTTTATAAATAATAGACTGTAATGAAATAAAAATACATATTAATTACCTAAAACTTTAATGTCAATAAAATTTTTATAACTTGTAATACTATAAGACCGGATATCAAAACAATTTATAATAAAATTAAAATATTCATTCCATTTTTTCAAATCATTTATGTATATTTTTACTTTTTGAATAATTTTATCTAATTGATTTTTAATCTCATCAGCATTATTTTCAGTAATATCTTTGTTAGTTAGAACTATATCACTTGTAAAGTACAGTTTACTTTTAATGAAGAAATTTGAAAGTTCTTTACATAATGTATTATTACGTTGTATATCTATTTTGGATAACTCTTTATTATCATTATAATTATTTAAGGACAACATAAATCCTTTTAAGATTATGTTTTTCAAATATGACCGTTTATAATCGTACATAGAAAGAGATATAACATCCGTTAAATAATTCTTTATTTTTTTACCCATTTTAATTAGTGTTTGTTTTAACCAAAACTTCACATTATCTGAATTTTCTGAAGATGCAACTTTAATTAATGTAAATAGTTGCGAACAAGAATAGCTATTGGTCGAAACGTAGCCCCAATTACTATCTTTATGTATGCTAAAACATTCTTGGGATAAAAATCATATTTCATATATTCAAATAAATCTTGTATAGTTAAATGAGTATCATTAGAGCATTTAATGTTAAGTGGAGTGAATCGGAGAAGATTTAATTCTATGTGTTGACTATTATCTATTTTTATAATATTATTTTTGTTAGTTAGAATTTGTAAGGTCATAATATCATAAAACAAAATATTTTTTGGATGAAAACTTTTGAATGAATTACTTTTATATGCTAACTGAAACTTGGTCAATATTTTTCCCTTAAGATCGTTATTTATATTCATTAGATTAGTAGTATTATATTCCTTCTGGGCAATTGATGGATTGCAACTAACCATATTGTCATAAAATGGTATTTTAAAACAATATCCATTTATGTAATTTGTTAGTTGTTCTTTAACTGCAAGATGTATAATCTTATAGCCTTCTAATAATTTTTGAGCATCATTTTTTTCATCATCAATTTTTGTAATCATATTTAAAGAGCCAGAAATGTTATTTAAGTACATATTTACCATAATTAAGGCAACAGAAAATTTTTTAGAATTTTTGTTTAACAAGTCCTCCAAAAATATCATAATTACTTCACTATGTGTTTGAAGTGCATTGCCATAGTTCGTAAGATTTTCTATTGTTAAATGTTTTCTATTTTTTTCCAATTGTAATAAAAATCTTTCATTATGGTTAAAAAAATTTAGAAAATAACGTGAATACGAGCACTTTAAGTAATGTGATAAATAACATAAACTTACTTTAAAGGTTATCATTAACATGAAAAGTAAAAAGTATTTCATTTTGCAATTTATTTATGTTAGGTTGATTTTCTAATGGTTTTAATTTGAAAAATATTGATACACTAGCTGTAAATTTTATTTTGAGTATTATTTTTATGAATTTTGTTATACCATATTTGATTAATTTTTCATTGGAAGGAAATAATTAATATTTATTTAAATGTACGTGTTCATCATTCAACATACTTACTTAATTGTTAACTTTATTATTGTATCTATATACGAAAATTTAATTATAATAATGAAAATGGTATTTTTAGTTCTCTCAAATACTTAATTTCTATGAAATTTATTTATGAATTTTTTTTATAAATTTTTATTTAAAATGTAAAACGAAGTAAATTGTTTCACCAAATTACAATATTAATTATATTTTAGCTATTGTTATTTATATTATTTTAAAATACTATTTAATGCATTATTAAATTGCTTATACGCTTTAACGTCGATGCGAAGCTGAGAAGGTATTAATTTTACTATGATGTGATTTTTATTTTTTTTTGTGTCTATTACCACTTTTTCTCAGCTCTCACCGAAACGATTTTTTTCGAAGATACGTCATTAGATCATAAATCGTATCTAGTCGAAGGCATTACCCTTAAAAATTGAAAAAATTCCCTTTGTTCCTAGTAAATATGAAGTATAGATACAGTATATTATATTATATTATAGTATAGTATATTATAGTATCCATACATGAAAAATGTATAGATCAATATCATTTTTTTTTCATAGATGCATGATATTTTTACCTATAGTTTGGTATATTTTTTTTTATAAATCTGACCCTTTACCTGCCCATAGGGGGGGATTTAAAATAACAATTTTTTCAACTTAAATTTTGAATGTGTTCTGTATACTCTGACACTTTTATACATATCTTAAATTAAAGATAATGTAATATACTTTATTATGAAAAAAAAAAAAATTCGGACTTTATTTTATCTTCACGATGAAAATAGATACCAAATGCTATTTTTATGTGAAATTTCTCGATTTTATATTTTACATTTTTAGCATTATTATGCTTTAACTTATTGAAAAGTGTATGGATCAATAATATTTTTTTATGTAAATACTATTTATATACCTCTTTTATTTGACTTAATTTTTTTTAAATAAAACCATTTCCCTTTATACAGAGTGTTCAGTAAGTCAGGAAACGGGTTTCTATTGTTCTCATTGTTTGTAACAATGAGAACAATAGAAACCCGTTTCCTGAATTACTGAACACCCTGTATAATATCAATTAGTTCCAATACTTATAAAAATGAGATACGCAATGTTTCAGGTAAATCAGAAAAGATTAACCCGTGTCATAAAAGGCCTAAAGTTTGAAAACTCAAAAATTTTGGATAACCATACATTTTTCATTGTTTTTTTAGTTCAGCGCGTTAAATAATGTATTCACAACAAAGTTGTAAGAACAAATGTTGTTTAAAATAATATTTTACACAAATTATTTTCTGAACAATTTTTTGATTTACATATTGTTTATATATAAAAAGTCAATATATATAATTTTGTTTTTAAAAACTCACAAAATAATGTGAATTCAATGCTAATTTTATAATACGAAAAATTTTTTTTAAAAAATTTACAAAAACACAACAAACATAAAAACTAAAAATTAATTATTCAACTAATTATCTAAAAGAGTACTCTTTTTGAAATCTGGATATTTATTGCGGTAATCATTTATTACTTGAAGCAAATATTGTTTTTGTTTTTCATCGTTTGTTATTTTTGTATTAAACTCCTCCATTAGTTTAACACCCTTTTCAGCTATATCATTTACTACATTAATGCTATTAATATGGTCTATTGATATCTTGAAATTTTCATCAGTGCTCCATAATGATGGGCCAACGATCAGAAAACTTAGTATCTATATTAAAACGTTTGAAAAATTGCATTGATTTTCCACAAATAAAATCTTCAAGATTTTTATTTAATATTCCAGTAGCTTCTATTGTATTTAATAAATATTTTTTTGGTACATCATCATCTGTATGGATTTTTAGAGCAGCTATAATTTTTCTCTTTGTATCAAATGGAGCATTAGTATCAAAAAGTGATAATACCGTATTCTATGGCAATAGATACCACAAATGACCACACATTTTTTTAACTGTAACTTCTGATATATTTTTATCTATTGACTGATAATTTACCAATCTTTTAAACAATTTAAATCTTGGAATGGTGCATTAGAAGCAAGTGGTGCATTAAACCAAGTTCTTACGTATAATATAATAATAAATATACAAATATTAGCTATTGACATTTCTTCTTTTTAGGTTATATTAAATTGGTTTCGGAATATAAATATTTTTAAGCAATATAAAGCTTATGCCATCCATCTAGCAGTATGGATAGCTCCCGGAACTCTAAAGGAAACTCCACCAAGAAAAATAATTGTTAGTTCTAAAAACTCTCTGTAATCTTCTCTGGGTTGTTTGATAAGCAAATAGTTATTTACGAAGATAGTTACATCAGTACATACATCATTTAATGTTTTTTTTACAATGTCGTTCATTATACCTGGCTCAAATTTGTTAGTATCTATATTTCTTCAATTTTGTTGAAACCGTTTAAATATTGGTACATCAGGACCAGATGTTACACTTAATTTAACTTCAAAAACACATTTTAATACTAGCTCGTAGATGTGGTGTCAACATGGTAAGTACAAAATATTACGTTCTAAGTAATTTTCTAATAACACGCAAGTACCTTTCAATCTACCCATATTTGAAGCCGTAGTATCACAGAAAAAAGCCTGTACATTTTCTGTAGTACACAAATCAATAAGTTTATGAAAAATAGCATCAGTCTGATCAACCCCTGTTCCCATATCAATTGCTGGAACTCCTAGTAATTGACTCATACCATTGCATAAAGCTATAATGGGAAGTCGATCAACACTTTTTTGTCCTGTTAATGAAGGTAAAAGTTTACCATCTCAATGAATGACAACGGAATCTTTAATAGTTACCAAATAATTATTACGGATTTTTTCAGCGCGTTCTTTATGGAAACGTATGAGTGAGTATCGAATTGAAGATCTATTTATAATTAATTTTTCAACGTCCACACCTAATACCTCTGCTGTTGAAATTAATATATGAACTGCATCTCTATCACTAATTTTGCATTTATCGAGCGCAGCTGCAAGTTTTGGCGTAATAAATTCAATTATTCCTCTAGTTGGTTGTTAAACGTACATTTTAGACGGTCCAGGCTTGTTAAAATTATCTTCAGCAACGTTAGACTCTGATGATGAGCACATTTCTACTTGCCCATCTAAAATACATACTTAATTATTAAATAATAATTCTAAAATAACATTAAACTTACTCAATGACTCTATCTCGTCATAACTTCTTTTACGTCGTTTTTCGGACATCTTTAACCTTTCATTGGTTCTTATTTATTTTTGTGCAATATTCAAATCAACTCCTAACATAATACCAGGACGTCCTTTTTGTCTTTACATTAATAAAAAATCTCTATCTTCTTGTAATGATCTTAAATTAAGGGCATCAACTTGAGCAATGTCAAACAAATCATTTAGTTTTTAACGAAATTCTTCATTTTTTTTATGTCAGATTTTCTGTATTGCATATATTAGTAATGGGTTTTGATTAAGACTTTATCGTCTTTTCGACATCGTCATTTTTGTATTAAATTGTGACTTGATTGTTTGAAAATAGTTTATTCAAGATTATACATTGCTGTTATTATAAATTACGAAAATTACCACTAGTTGAAAAACTAAAACTAACATTCACTTTATTTTGTGAGTTTTCAACAACAACATTATATGTATATTGATTTTTTATACATTAATAATAAGTAAATCAAAAGATTGTTCAGAAAATAATTTGTGTAAAATATTATTTTAAACAACATTTGTTCTTACAACTTTGTTGTGAATACATTATTTAACGCGCTGAACTAAAAAAACAATGAAAAATGTATGGTTATCCAAAATTTTTGAGTTTTCAAACTTTAGGCCTTTTATGACACGGGTTAATCTTTTCTGATTTACCTGAAACATTGCGTAACTCATTTTTATAAGTATTGAAACTAATTGAGATTGTATAATTTTTAAATTTTACTACATTAATTTTAAGAACCATCCTATTATATATATATATATACACTTATTAATGTATTACACTTATAAATCATAAAACATGTAATCAAGATATAAATAAGGAAATTGGAGATCATGTAGCTTTTGGAATAATCCATAAATTTTTTAAAATTAAACACTATCTACAGATTTGCATCAAAGCGTTTTTTATGATAGTGATTTTAATCACTGTCAGATATCATTATACTTGACCCAACTATGCCACATCCTCACTGTGCTAGGTTTTTTCAACTACAATAAAAATATAAAAGAATATAGATTATTTCAATATTAAAGTTATCACCGAAATTATTTTATTAGCTTGTCAAATTGTCATTTATAATTTTTTTTTTTTAATCAAAACGACGACACAGCAGATAATATTGTATATACTAAGTGTTATTGAAAAAAATTGATATGTCAAATAATACTTATTTTGATATTACTTTCAACTATGAAACTTGAACATCAAATTGATCTGTAGACATATTTTATCAATATTATCTTTGTGCATTTTGAGTAAATAAAAAAATGGATCAGTTTTATTGCCCCTATTTCCCGAACATAACATGTTACAAAGGGAGGTTTTAAAATAAATATCAAGCAGATTTGAACCTATTACATTTAAAAATCAATTCTCAACATTTAGTAGATATTTGTAGAAAAATAAAATGTATAACAAATTTTTATCCTTTATTTAAACACCATTGAAATTAATAAAAATAGAAATTACAAATTATGATTTATAATCATTATATCGAACAGATAGTGTTCTTCATATATCAAATTAACTGTGATTTTCGTAATTAATATAAAAAAAAATAATAAAAGTTAGAAGAATATCTTAAGAAAGTTTCAGAGATATTGAAAATATGAATCCTTAAAAATCCTTATTAATAAAATTTTAGCTTGGATGCGTAGCTGAGAAGTTATTTATTTTACCAAGATATATTACCAACCAAGATTTATTGTTTTATTTTTATATAAATTCTTTGATATACATTTTAGTGGAGAATTGTTTTCAAAACTATACATAAATTTAATATTCAACATACAAAAAATATTACGTATATATTTATAAAATAATTAAAGCAACAAACAAACAATGCCTAAATAACATATTATATCTGATAGATATAAAAAATATCAAATATTTAACAAGCAATAATTATTTTGAAAATAGAATGAATACATATATATATTTTTTTACGAATGATTACAAAATTGCAAAATTAATTTTCGTTGATGGCAAAGGACACAAAAATCTTTTTTTTGGTCGAAAAGAACCATTTGTTGTTTGAACGTCGGCTCTCCGTCATTCACGGTTACTCTATTTATGACACAGTGTCCACTTCAAAGAAGGAACATTGACGTCCTTGAAAAGCAAAATGGCGCTTACTTTTATCTTAGTTCCGTTCTCACAAGCCCATTACGTTCTCTCCTGTAACTGCGCTAAATAGTAACGACTACAGCGCTTTCGTAAATATTAAGAGTATTGAGAAACACATCTCCAGCAAATTAAACGGTCACTAGATATGTTCGTTTGTTCCAGTTCAGGTAGGGTAGTTAGAGAATTACCAATGAGGAAATGACCAGGAGTGAGAGGAGACAAATCACTTGAATCAGAGGATATAAATGTTAATGGGCGACTATTTAACCATGCTAACGTCCGCGTAGTACAGTAAGTAGCTCTTCATAAAATAAATGGACATTACTCAAGACTCTACGCAATTAATATTTTATAGATTTTACTCCAGCCTCACACAGACTCCAAAAGTGTGATAACCGCGATAGAATAAACTTTCATTCCACTCCGTTTTCAGACAACATGTTATTAGTTTTCTTTTCCGTTTGATATAACTCTTACCACTCTTTAAGTTGACAATTTGACCCGATAAAATTTGATATGTTAAAAGAGTACAAAGTTTTACTTTTTCCGCGTCAGGTGAATTTTTCCTCAATCCTGTTTTTTAACAAAAATTGACCACAGAAATCTATATCTGTGACAAGAAAAGCTTTATCCGAAGACAGGCGATTTCTTGATAGATCGCCTGTAAACGGTTGCACCACTTGAGGTTAGTGACGAAAATAAACAACACAACTATTAACGGTAAAACGTGCGTGATTTCGATCGCTAATAGGCTAATAATTGTTTCGAACGGATGCTGATAACTTTTGTGGCCACTACGCATTAACTTGAAATGTTCCTCCCATTTTGATATACTTGGCCATTCTTTTTCATTCAACTAAAGCTATTTAGGCTCATGCCACCATACTGACATGTTTTCTAATTCAGATATGTGACATCCACGAGAGATTATGTCTGCTGGATTATCTTTGTCGTTAACGTGATACCAGTCTGACACAATACAACCTTTTAATCGGACCAGTAAAATTTTTTGTTCATCGGTTACAATAACTTAGGAATGATTTTGTCACCTAGGCGTACAAGTAATAAGGCAGCACACAATTCTAATCTCGGTAGAGATAGTTGCTCTATACGGACCACTTTACTTTTAGCGCTAATTAAATTAATGAAATTAATGGCATACTCGTCGTAACACCTAAGATTTAAACAACAATCATTAACATTTATACATGCATCCGCAAAACCATGAACTTAAATGTTTTCCATTCTATTTTTTTTGTAATTTGTCGTGGTATTTTTAACGTTTCTGAAATTATTTTTTTTATATTAAGTAAGAGATGAACAAAATTTGAGTTCCGACAGGTTTAACCGAATTTTTTGATCATTAGAGTAAAGTTTTAGTGTCAATGAAAAAAGGTGATATTTATTTTGATAAAACATACAGTTATAAAACTTTAAAATATTATATTCAATTAAGTATAACATACAAAAATAAGTATTGAAAATGTACAGTATTCATTCTAATAACAATTTCAAACATCTCACTTTACGCATTGTATGGCCAATAATCAATCATATAAAACGGTTTATAATTTGATTTATATTCAAAGGATTCCTTTGAATCAATATCAATATTATCAATTTCATCTTTTAGATCCTTTAAGTTAAATTGTGTAGCATCATCTTCTACATTTTGCACATCTTTATAATATCCTATTTCAATATTATTTTTATCATTCGCACTAATATTGCATATTTCAGAATGTGATTCAGTATTACAAATACGATCTAAAAGAAATAAAATGACAATTTAAAAGTGCAAATATTACAAATATTTACTTTATTCAACAAGATGATAGTGATTATTAAATTAAAATTTTCATCTGTTTATATTTTTTCTTAATTAATAATTTTCAACAATTAGGACGAAAATTTACCCATTTAAATTGTTTAAAACTAAGATATAAGAACATTTGCATTTTTTCGGTTTTTATCAAATAATGCACTTACCATAAATTCATTCATCAAAATTTATAGAATAAGAGAAATTATAAATGTATAATAAAATATTTATGTCCTTTGTTTTAACCACAGAATGTAATAAAAATATAAAATATGTATCATAAGCATTATGTTGAACAAATACTGTACTCCATATATTGTCGTACGTCGGTAGTGCCCCAACGTAGATACAAAGGTTTATTAAAGTTTTATGTATATATATATATATAGACGACGAGTTCGTCGTCCGAGCTCTTCTCGAGTCCTCCCGTTGGATAAACTGATCAGCCCCAATCTCTCTAATTAGTGGACTACTAAAGGGGTAGAGTTTAGACCCGTCAGCACAGTCTAGCTCAAAAGTAGCAGACTGAAGGGTGGCTCCTTGTCAGCCACCAGCACAACTACCTTTTTACTATACCCACTAAAGGACGGTTAAGCCCAAACACTAGCCAGCTCGTACACTAATTATTAAGATTGACTAAAGGACCAGCAGTCCAACCTAGACTCTAGTCGCACACACACACACACACACACAATTTCGAGATCACCGTGAAAATAAAATATTTGCGCTAAGTCCAGATTTTTAAATAGCTATTTTATTTACGAAAAGTATTAAACACAAAAGTCAAATATAATATAATAATTTAACACAAAAATTAATTAAATCTTACAAAAAGTATATAGTTATTCTCACGTCAACAACCTAACCCGCAACTCGACGTTTCTTCGACAAAAACGTCCAGTCTCGTCTCGCTCAGTAACGTCCCCCTATCCTCTTCATGTTTCCCTTTTATATTCTTTTTCCCACCATTATTAATTTGCTTACCCTGCATTTCCCTTTTATATGGAATTATTTTATTGCTTAAGAGTTCAAAAATTGCTTACTACTATTGTAAGGCTTATATTATACTAAAATCGACGTAATTCAATACTTCCTCATATAATTACTACAATATCAATTAATTTTCTTTATAATAAAATTTGAATTAAAATTGAAAACAAAGAGAGATATTTATATAGTTAAACTTATTAAATTAAATAAATTTAGTTTGTAAGAGGCCCATAGCAAAATAAATTGAAAAATTATATAAAAAAGATTAGAATCAAATTTCACCTAAATGTTTAAAATTATAACATAAAGTAAATTTGAATGTTAAAAAATATAAGCCATCAGATATTCCACTAACCGCCAAAATGTAATTTTTAGAAATTAATGTTAAAGAATATTCTAAGAAAGTTTTAGAATTATTAAAAATATAATCTTTAAAACAAATAATTAATAAATCTTTTGTAAATTATTTCGCACATTTAGAAGTGTGTAATTGATATTTTCATATGGCAAATTTCTTTGTTTCAATTAGTAATGTTTCATTCTAAACCCGAAGACGACGCAATGCATCATCGGTTTTTTGTTAAATACATAAAGTTTATATTGTATATAAATTATACAATGTATTGAAAAAAACTAGATTTTATCTTACCTAAAATCTTAAAAACAATAAAATTCTTATAACTTGAAACATTAAAAGATCGGATCCTAAATTTTTTTACAATAAAATTAAAATATTCATTCCATTTTTTCAAATCGTTCATATATATTTCAACTTTTTGAATGATTTGATCTAATTGATTTTTAATCTCATCAGCATTATTTTCAGTAATATTTTTATTAGTTAGAACTATATCTCTTGTAAAGTATAATCTGCTCTTAATGAACAAATTCGATAGTGTTTTAATTAATTCATTATTACATTTAATATCAATTTCGGATAACTTATATTTTTCAATATAATTACTTAAGGCCAACATAAATCCATTTAAGATTATGTTTTGTAGATATGACCGTTTATAATCGTACATGGAGAGAGAAATAACATCCATTAAGTAATTCATAATTTTTTGACCCATTTTAATTAGTGTTGGCTTTATCCAATATATTACACCATGTGAATATTCTGAAGATGCAACCTGAATTAAGGTTAAAAAGTTGCGAATAAGAATAGCTATTGGTCGAAACGTAGCCCCAATTACCATTCTTATGTATGCAATAACATCTTTGGAATTAAAATCATATTTTATATACTCAAATATATCTTGTATAGTTAAATAAGTACCATTAGTGCATTTAATGTTAAGTGGAGTGAATCGGAGTAGATTTAATTCTATTCGTTCACTATTTTGTAAGGTCATTATATCGTAAAACAAAATATTTTTTGGATGAAAACTTTCGTATGAATTTATTTCTAATGTTAACTCATAGTTGGTTAATATTTTATCCTTGATTTCATTATTTATATTAATTAAATTAGTAGTAGTATATTCATCAATTGGAATATTACAAAAATCTATGTAATCATTAAATATTATGTTTTTACAATATCCATTTATGTAATTTGTTAGTTGTTCTTTAACTGCAAGATGTATAATCTTATAGCCTTCTAATAAATTTTGAGCATCATTTTTTTCACCATCAATTTTTGTAATCATATTTAAAGAGCCAGAAATGTTATTTAAATACATATTCACTGTGATCAAAGTAAAAGGAAATCGTTTTGCATTATTGTTTATCAAGTCCTCCAAAAATATCATAATTACTTTACTATGTGTTTGAAGTGCATTGCCATAGTTCATAAGATTTTTTATAGTTAAATTTTCTTTGTTTTTTTCCAATTGTAACAAAAATCTTTCATTATGGCTAAAAAAATTTAGAAAATAACGAGATTGCGAGCACTTTAAGTCATGTATTAAATGACATAAACTTATTTTAAAGGTTATCATTAACATGAAAAGTAAAAAGTATTTCATTTTGCAATTTATTTATGTTAGGTTGATTTTCTAATGGTTTAAATTTGAAAAATATTGATACACTAGCTGTAAATTTTATTTTGAGTATTATTTTTATGAATTTTGTTGTACCATATTTGATAAATTATTCATTGGAAGGAAATAATTAATGTTTATTTAAATGTACTTGTTTATCATTCAACATATTTACATAATTGTTGACGTTATTATTGTATCTATATACGAAAAGTTAATTTATAATACTGAAAACGGTATTTTTAGATATCACAAATATAAAATAATTAATATAATAATATTGAATATTAAAAAATGGAATATTAAATTTGAAAGTTTAAATAAAACATTGTAAATGTTGTAAAACTATTGTCCCATGAATTGGATTTCTTTAAATATTTGAAGACCAGATGCTTTAACTAAACTCCCAATTAAATATGAAGTGTAAATATTTATAAATAAATTCGATTCATTCCTTATAACTTCGTAATTCTTTTGATATCTACTATTACGGCTAATGAATTATATATTAAATTTAATAATAAATATTTGGCTTCTACAAGAATCTGACTAGACATTAATTTTACTATGACGTGTTTACCCTATGTGCACACGTTGACTTTAACATCTATGCGAATANCCCTATGTGCATACGTTGACTTTAACATCTATGCGAATACAATTATTGATGAAAATACGACATAACAATAAGAGATCTATGTGATATCTAAATAAAAATTTTGAAATCGCCCAAACGTAACTACAATTACTAATTTACGATCTATGTTTGTGACCTCGCATAGTTTTCATAATCTTGTTTAGGTCCCAAACGCGAAGTCTAATTATATTATATAAAAATAGATATTAAATAAATTTTCACACGAAGTCACTATAAAGTTGCAGAGAGGTCACGATTGAGATCTAAATATTGTCCTTATCAAAGATGACCGACGACACGTGTAAGTATGACTGACGCCAGACTTCCGTGACTTTTTACTGTATTCGCTTTATAACGCGTCTTAAACAAGTACTCTTTCAACCATCACTTTTTCTCGGCGCACTTATGAGTAATCATCTTTTTTGAAAATTATGGAGAGCTCAAATTTTAAACAGGTAAATAGTAAAATTTACTCTTAATTCTTTTAAAACCTTAGTCAACTATTCATCCTAGTAAAGATCACCATTCTCAAATTTACAAGTACAGCACTTGATTTATACATAAAGTCTATTAGCATACAGAGCGTATATGGAATGTAGGGGAACTTGCATAAATTTAAAACTTCCGAACAAATTTTGGTCAAATTGCCCTAATTTAATGTAAATACTCCAGGACCTAATGACCTTCAAGTACTTTGTGTACTTTAATACAAGATGTGAAATAACTTTCGGAAGTTAAATGAGAACCTATTATTTTTTGTTATTATTAAACAGAAAATGGTCTAAATAAATAAAATTATGACTAGTCGATAACCAGTTTTATATTCTTAATTTTTGAGATATTAGCATTTAAAGATTTATTAAAGTTGAGGAGCGGGGTAGTATTTAGCGACTTCTAGTTTTACCATGACGCATAGTTAACAAATTTTCCATGTTGAGTTGCCCACTCATCTATAACTAAAAAAGTAATAATACAATACAGATTATCCACTGGTCAACTTCAATTTGACCATTTCCCAATAAAAAATAATTGGTCCCCATTTAACTTTCGCAATTTACCCCTAACATAAACCCTTAAAAATAATTTTATTTTATAATAAATACAATATTTAGTATGATTTATAAAAATAAATCAAATTTTAATCTGTAATTTTGTCAAAAAATTCAACGAAAAAATGGGGGCAAGTATACTTAATAAATCAAACTGTTTATAATGTATATATACATAATACTTAATATATTATTTATTACATAAATTAATGTAATATGATTACTTTTATATCTACATTTGTGAAAAAATGTTATATTAGAGATTTAACTTTCCAATAAATATATTATCTGATTAAATAATCTTTAATTAGCTAGGTTAAATGTATTTCTTAGTTCTATATTTTATACTGTGTTTCATTTTATTAAGTGGGTTATTGTATTTTTTGCGCCGGAAAATAAATATTCCATTGTACCAGTTAAATGGATTATTTACTGTGGAAAAATATGTTTTTGTAAGTGGCCAAAAAAAGGAAATATCAATAACATGATAAAAGATTTTATTGAGCCAGAGAATGATTGGCCCACATACCCCATCACGGTAGTATCTCAGTATTTCGGTAAGTTTTGTATTATCTTTTAAAAATTTAAGTTAATTTATATTTATGCTTTCTTCAAGATGATTATTCTGAAGCTTCTATGAAAGAAAAAGAAATATTTACATCTTCAGACACTACACCAACCAAGAAAAAAAGGACCAAACAAAGTGTAGCAATTAGTGATTGCCCTAATGGTAAGTTTACAACCTAACTTTGTAGGATAGTTTTATTTCTTATTCTTGAACAATATATTAAGATTTTCTTAAGTGGTTTTGAATGCATACAGAAACATTAATACTTTACTAGTATTAATATTACTAAAATTTTATCAAGGTAATATGTTAGTGTTTTTTTTTAGATCCTGAAAGTGTTCCATTCAAAATCTGTAAACCATCAATTACCAATATAATATCAAGTTAGTATAAACATCATTTTTAAATAAGTTCTCGGTTAATACTATTTTTGAAACTATTTATTTTAGATGCTATAGATACATCAATAAGATGTGATGAGGTAGATAATGCACTACAAGAACTTAATACAGAGAATGTAAGCACCTATCAAAATGGTATGTATTCATTACTAAATTAAATACTTTTAATAGTTAAAATTATATTGAAGTCTACTTATTTAGTTTTTTTTTTAATATAATTATTAGGTTGTAAGTTATTTACTTTTTTAGTGAAAATATTTAGTTAATTTTATCTTTCACTTATTTATACAAGACTAAATAAACAATTTATAGTCTCATTAATTAAGTAAAATGTTATATACATTTTTAGTCTAATAGTAATTTAGTTTTTTTTTTCGTATGTTAGTTAATAGTCCACAAAACTAATTAAACTCAATAATAAATATTATTTAATGACATTGTCATTGCTTTGAGATTTTTAACTTCATCTTAATATATTTTATATTTTTTAGTAACTGAAAACTTCTATAATGTAGACCAATATTCACCATGTGCTCCAGTCATTTCAAACAATTTATCTCAAAAAACTTATGAAATGATAAAAAAAAATTTTGAAATGCATATAACAACACTAGAATATATTAAAAGAATGGATGCTAAATTAGAACTTCTTGAAAAAAAAATCATTGGTAGTCCTGTTCACAACGCATACGACTCAAATTTATTATCATTACTTCCATTCAAAAATAAGGAAAGTGTGGATGCTGCTGACGAAAAACTTAAAACAGATTCTAACTTTGAACGTCAAATGGTAATTTTATTTTTATTTTAATATTAGTTTCCATAATCTTTCAAATGGTTAATGATAATAATAATAATTATTATTATTATGAGTCACATTAGTTGCAAAATCTGCAGATTAAATAATATTCTTTATTGATTTTACTTGTAGAGCAACTATGTGTATCGAGTTGGGGGAACCAGTATTAAAAACTATGTCCAAAGAGTGTTTGCCAAAATTTTTTCTTTAGACATCGCAAGGAAATATTCAATGAAAGGTTGCCGGGGTAATCACAGACTGGATAGCCTAAAAATAATTGATATTATAAAAAGTAAATAGAACTGTAAGATAATTACCATATATTATAGGGTGGATCAAAACATTATTTTACAACAATTATAAAATTCATAGAAATATTATTAGTTACATTAACATAAAATATTAAAGTAAAGGAATAACTTAATGTATTATTTTATACAATACCATTATAAATATATTAT